TACAGTAAAGAAGTTAAATTATTATATACTGAGATTTAAGAACAAGCTGACCTTACCGAACAAGTTTGAAATGAAGAATATAACTGATTGAATGCAATCTGCTTAAAAAAAAAAAAAGGAATAAATTGTTTGCATTGTGATGAAAGTGAGTGGTAATATTTTAAGAAGTATCAAATAGCTGCCTGGAACATACCAAATTAGTTATTTTGGTTTTTGGGTGGACCTGACTGTGGCTAGGTTAGGGGGACTAAGGCTAGGGGAGGAATTTTGCACTACTTGCACTTCTCTGGCATTGTAGCCATTACTACCAGTATAGTATCTGAATGTGTGTTCATCATTAGCTATTCAAGTTGTTCTAGTTAGCTGTACTTATACGGATAAGTCACTTGGTGTGTTCTGCTCCCAGGTGGAGCAATACTAGCACTTCCAGAGTAAACAGTAACATACATTCCCTTAAAATGTAGACTCGCCACTTGGAAATTCTCATTTCAAGAAATATTCGTATATGTCTAAATAACTCAATAAAAACGTTAAGGTACAGAAAATAAATGAAGAATTTAAGTAACAGCTGTTATGGTACCTGTTGCAGCTCCTGCCCAGTAGCAGTTTCCCATACATGCAGAAAACATAAGATCAAATAACTTATCAATATAATGACTGGATTTGTTAAGAGTAAAATAAAGATGCCCACACTTTCAAGTGAGGTTGTGCTTCATCCCTGGGTCTGTGCGTGTTGGAAATATGAGAACTCCAGTTCCTAAAAAAAGGTCACATCACAGATAATGGAAATAACAGTGTCCTGGGGGCTTGGAGGAGTGTCATGTCCCAGTGTCCAATAACGTGTGAACTCTGACTGAAGCCTTTCTTGGATTTATGTGTTCAAACTACAGTCCCATATTGTCACTGTCTAGTGACAGACAAATTTCACCCTATAACATTTCTTTTCACTGAGAACATGACTAAAAATTGCTTAGTTTCCTGGAACTAATCAAGCTTCATATTGCTGAAATCATTCCCTTTGTTAGATATGGTTAAAGGCAGATGAGACATTCAAAAGCTGTTGGAGAGACACGCAAAAGCAGATGCATGAAACCTGATCGCATTTAGCTTGTTTGGTTATGAAGTATCAAAAAAAATAACAAAACCATTTATTTAAAACTTAACCAGTTTCCATTTATGGGAATTGGGAATTCTAAGGCTTTTGAATGTTTTTGATCCCTTTTTAAATACATGATAAAGAAACCACCATTCATCTAACATCAAAGCTACACATTATACACTGTCTTGCATTCAGAAGGTTAATGATTTGCTTTTTGGCTATGTAAAAGGACTAGTTTATAAATAAGAGATTAACAGAAATGAAAATATTTGCAAAAACATATCAGGGCTATTGAAGGATTTTTAAAAAATAACAGCCAGTCTCAAAAAACAGTCAACATAGTCTCCTTGACTGATTTTTTTTTTCCCCAGGATACCATTTCCTCTCTTGGAGGAAGGCTGCTTCAGTCACATCTCCATTTAACTGTCTGCTCCTTATCCTCCCCACCCAGCCTGCTGATCTGTGTTTCCAAATATACCCTTAATTATGTCTATGAAAATGTAGAAATATAAGAATAGCACACAGTGGCATGTTCACATTTCTAGTCTGTTTTCATAAAACATATAATGCTGTTCTGCGAAGCAGCAGAACAGATTAAAGATCACAGAAAATTGTTTCTGGCTTACTTATGGTTTTGCAGGCACTTGTGGAATTCCCATGATACAAATTTGTTACTGCATGACATTGGCATATACCTGAAGATGCTAACATAATATGCAGAGCTAGTACATGAGGTAAATTTTTAAAAACTGTCCCCGATACGTGGACTTAATAATGCTCTGATCTGTAGGGCAGTGGATATCACATTTCAAATTTTTCAGATACGATTGTCTAATTGTTTGCATTGTAATTCTGAAAATGGTTGGTTTTAGGTGTCTCATAGAATCATATCCCCACCTGTTGGTATTTCAGTCATTAGTCAGTTATTAATTAGCGATGCTCAGGCCTACAGAGTACTTGGTATAATTTTTAATTGTTATTCAAATGCTAGATATCATACAGATGGTGAAACAAGAAGCTGATCACTCCAGAGTCTGTACTGGAGTGTCACTATATACAAACGGATTCCTTAAAAGTCTGTGGATTGGGGTAAAGTCAAGAGGGCTCTAAAAGTATGGTACAAATAAAACTCAGTAGACAGACATCAGATCTGGTTCCACCATTGCTGTAGTTTTTGTTTCCCATAATTACAAATAGTTGTCTCAATATATGTAATGGTTGACAAATATAGAATAATACAAAGGACCATTATAAGAACAGGCTGGCTGTACTTGCTTCTGATTCCCTTCCAGCAAGAGATGCATTTTTTAAATGCTGTTTCTATAGCCCAGGCAACTCTGTGTTTCCTTTGGCGCTTTGTTCTGGCACCGTGTAAGCAGCACGAGTAGCTGTGCCACTGAAGTGAATTCAGAAGTCAGTGCACCTGCAGATCTCACGTACGTTTACTCAGTGAGCACTCTAAGTTTCTTAATGCAGCTTTACACACAGTTTTTTATTTGGACAGGGTGGAGTTCAGGAAGAAGCGAAAAATGTTCTTGCTTGTGTAATTTTCAGCTAAGATCAGTTGTTGTATTTAATTCTCAAATGTGATGTTTTTCCATCAGCTTGTGTAACTAAACACAAGTTATGTGATGTCATGTGCTCTGGCAGAGGAGCTAGAAAGGTTATAATTTAGTGGGATTTGGAACATGGAAATCCATATTTATTTAAAATTGTAAAAGAAATAACATTAAGCTTTATAATATTCCTTCTCTTTTAAAGGCATCTCTTGCTTGCCTCTCTGAAAAGTAAAGTAGCCTGAGCTTCTTTTTGATTCCTTTATTTTCTGGAGGCTTACCTCTGTGATCTGCTAGTGATATTCATAATGTACAAAAGTACTGCTGCTGCCAAAGCATAATGTTAAAACTCTCAATACACACATTCACATGCTTGACATCTTTCCTGCTGTGTTTAAGATATTTGATAACATTTACATATTAATTTATAGGATCAAATTCTTGCAGTCCTTGTATAAAGGTAAAATTGTGACTTCAGCATTGCCTAAGATGGAGCTCAAAATCTTTACTGTGTTGTGTACAGCCACTTCAATGGTAAAAGCTCTTTGTTGAGTACAACATGTCCATGGGTCACTGCTTATGCAAGAAAGTGGTACTGAGACTGCATGTTCTCTAATGAGATTAGGCAATCTATTCATATAATCTCTCATTCTGTTGATTGTTTTACTGCCGGTAAAAAGTCATTTGTGTAACTTACCTGCACAGAAAACCACATCCCTTCTGTTTAAGAGATGAGACTGACAACAGACTGTGAACTTCCACGTGTGGTTTTGGAGCAGCAGCTAGGTCTTGTCTTAATTAATAACCTGCAGCAACTTTGTTCCAGACTGTGTACTAATTTTTTTATGAACGATAATTACTCTCGTATCTTCACACAAGGCATCCAGCCTTTCCTCACAATGCAGCTTTTCTTTGAGGAGGTGTTGCTAAACCTCAACAAAGCTGGGAAGCACTCTAGAAAACTTCTACCACTACTAGAGTGATACCAGCTATCAGTGCATGGAGGGTAAAACTACGTGGCCAAGAAACTTTAAAGGCAACTACCAAGAAGATATTGAATTGAGACTGAGGGGGGAAAATACTTCCTAGGAAGGAGAAGAATGGGACAGTAAAGAAATAGGGCAAGAAAGGCCACATTATCTTTGACTTAGCAAACAAATCATCACCACCATCATTGACAATGCCAAATAAGGAAGGTGAGTAGGAACCTGAATGTTCTTATCCAGGTGTGATGTGCAGTGAGGAGGGGGAGACAAAATGTTCTAGATGAATAACAAATAAAGAATGTGATGTTCAGACTCAGTGACAGTAAGAACCAAACCAATATACAGAAGTAACAGACAGCACATTTCATGATTTTATGTTTTCATTTTTAACAAACAGAGAAATTAAGGATGGAAACAACTAATATGAGTTGCCCAAAGCTATGCAGCACATCAGTGATAAAGCTGGGAATGTATTCTAGATACTTACTGGCCCAACAATGCTATTTCTGTCTGTGACCTGTGCCCACCTCCAGTGCTTGAACTCCTCAGGCACCCCAGTGTTCCAGTGCAGACCACCAGCACAGCCATGCAATGGCATGGGCATCTGGCCCTGTGAGAGATGTTTCCCATGTCTGAGATCTGTTGAGAAGTGCAGCAGGTCACCAGACTGTTATTTGAGCTCACTGGTCCTACCTTAAGCATAACAACCATAGTCAGCTATTGATAGAAGGCTGTTACTTTCAATGTGGCACATTTACCTTGTTGAAATACAGTGCTCCTTGCATCACTTCTAAATGATACCTGAGCCACTGAACAAGACAACTGTAGGATCTTGTAGCAAATGCAGAAAAATGCAGGCATAGCTGTGGAGAATAAAAGTCACATCCAGTGCCTCAAAATTGCCACTTTGCATTTTCACCGTAACTGTTTTTAAATAGCTGAAGAGAGACTTCCTCACAGCTTCTGAACTTCAACATTGAGTCAGATAGAAATAGGGACAGCTTAGAGGAATAAATATAAGGAGGATTAATGAAGAAGTGAAGCCCAGCAGACTACAAGAGCTATGAAATGAGACATCTGTGAAAGGATCGATGTCATAGAGTGACATGGAGATGGAGCCCAGCATCTCTGAAGATCCAGTTATCAAATAAGGTATCACTAGTTTGACTGACAGTACTTTTTAATGGGTTGGAATACCACAGTGGCCTCCTCTTTGAGAAACACCTTCTCCATTTAATTGGTGCTAAGTAGCATGTACCTTGCTCCCAACTTTTGTATTCTAACTCTTGCATACAAAAAACCACCAGGGAAGATGTTGCTATCCCTCTTCTCATCACGCTTACTATTTGCTTCCTGCAGGTGAACGACCTTTCGAGTGCAACTGGCAAGGATGCAACAAGAAGTTTGCCCGCTCGGATGAGCTGGCCCGTCATTACCGCACTCACACCGGAGAAAAGAAGTTCAGCTGCCCCCTCTGTGAGAAGCGCTTCATGCGCAGCGACCACCTGACCAAGCACGCCCGTCGCCACGCCAACTTCCAGCCCAGCATGCTCCAGAGGCGCAGCGGGAGCGGCTCCAGAACAGGCTCTCTCAGTGACTACAGCCGCTCAGACGCCTCCAGCCCCACTATCAGCCCCGCCAGCTCCCCATAGACCTGCCTGCACTGGATGTCAGCACTTTGCCTCTCATGCCTAACGTGGAGTTTTGTTTGTGTTGCACACATTTAAAAAACACTCTTGTTTCCCGTTTTTCCCATCCCTCCCTTTGGGAAAAAAAAGAAAAAAGAAAAAAAGAAAAAAAAATAATCAGTAAATAGCTGCCTCCCACTGCAATTTCCAGTCAAATTTTCTTTACCCAGCCACACAAGTGGCTATTCTAACCTCATAGACAGCCAGACTTATGTTCCGCTTAGTAACTCCTGCTGTCTCAATATTTCATGCATTTTGCAGCCATTTACAGATCCTCGATTATTCTTTTAAGAAAATGAGAAAATAAAAAAAAAACAAAACACCCAAAAACAACAAAAGAAAAAAACCCCACAATTCACCTCAGGTGTCAAAGCCGTTTTGTAAGACCTGATTGTACAACATGAGCATTCACTTACAAATCAATTGTGTTGGATTATGTATGTCCCCCTTCTCCTTTCTCAGGGATGGATATTTATGTTACACAATAATTACAATGAAGACACACCCTAACCACAGCCTTACTCTGTAAATATATTTGCACTCAGAAGCTTTTTGTTAGGTTCTTTCACACACTGGGGAGAAAAAATAAAAACCAAACAATACAAAAACCCAACCAGTACTGGAATGTAGTACCAGACTATTTTACTGTTTGTTTTCCTGATTATATACCTGCTTTGGGGAGTGTCTAAACAGAAGTCTTGCCTTTCTTCAAGCTGCCCTCTGCTTCTGGTAGCCACCTGTCTTTTCACTTCGTGCTGAAGATGCTCCAAAACCAACTTCGTACTGCAAAAATCTCTGTAAGGTTGAGAAACCTGGTTTGTTTGTTTATTTCATACTAGATAAAATTCTGAGAAAAAATTCTAAACAAGATGCCTTAAGTAAATAACCTAAATTACGAGGAAACATATTTACACTGGGTAGCATTTTATTGCATGGAATCTCGGAGGCATTCTGTCATCACCCTCTCCAAGTTTTTAAGCTCTCTGCACTGCCTGTTCAGTATGGGACCAACAGGACATTCAAATCAAGCCACACTGACTTGAGCAATTTTCTTTATTCTTTTTTCCTTTTTTTAAAGTTTTATGAACTATGAAAATAGCACAGCTGAACCAATGACCATCAAAACTTTTATCAAGGTACTTACCTACTGTACAGCTGTATCTTAGCAAGACAATTCGGCTAAGATGCAGTTTCTGTGTCCTCTTGCATCACAATTGTGGTCACTGATAAAAGGAAGCTAAATTCATAAGGTATCTTCTGACTGGAAAAATAAAATATGCATTTTAAAGTTTTAAAATAAAATGAAATTTTAGCTCATCATTACTACCAATTCCTCAAAAATATACATACCAGCATAAGGTAAGGTGCTCTCACTTCTGAATAACTGGCAAATGACAAAAAGGGAATCTTGGCTAGTTTCAATAGCTTTCAAATGTTTGACATTAGGCAGAGCACTAGGAGGTAGATTTTAATGTTTTATATGGTAGAAAATACAGCAGAAGACCAGGAGCATTGTGATGTACTGGAGACCTCACTGGCAGCAAATACACTTTCCTTGGTTTGGCTGGGTCTGATGGTGCATATCATAAATTCAGGTCCTTTTGATTCTGGAATTTTGGGGGTTTTCTTGTTTTTACTGTGGGGTAAAAATGCAGTTAAGTGTAGCATGGTGAAAAGAAACTCCCTATGCCAAACCTGTTGTTTGATATCACATGAATGCCTCCAAATTCCACATGAACCTTTATCCTACTTGCTGCTTTGCATTGATCCAATTTTCCAAGTTTTTATTGTACTGTATATTAACTGTGAGAGGCGAATATAGATTTCCAAGTAGTTTCATAGGTACTTTCATATTATTCCGAATACTAAGCATTCTATTAGTTGTATCGATAAATACTTAAAGACAAGTCTAAGTGCAGATATTTCCATATTTTTTTTCATGTTTATTTGCTTCAGATTTCACCTCTATAACATCACAATTCTACCCTTTTGAATTGGAAGTCACGCATGGCAAAATTCTAGTTTTATTTCACAGAAAATAAAAGAACATTCTAAGATTTTTTTTACAAGATGACAAATATTGTGGAGTTTGTGTGATGAGTTGCCTAACCACTGTGAGTTAGGGGAAAGCCATATCTGTTTTCCTCCCCTCCATGGGTTTTCTCTTTTCTATTTTTAATTTAAAAAAAAAATAAATCTCAATCTACTGAAATACACAATTTTAACAACTTGAAATAATTCAGGCAACAGGAATTCACATTCCAATAATTTCTGTGACTGCTAAGTGTTCTTGTGTTGCAGTTAGTATAAAGGCATTTAAGGTATCTAGCTAAAGGAATTCTACAGGTCAGCTGTGTCTTGTGCACATACTTCAAAACAAGTCATCAACACATTTCTCATTAGCATTGTACCTTAATAGAAGGATATGGAGGAAAAAAAATCCCCAAATCAAAAGGAGAACATGGCATCAGCAAAAATCATAGTCTTCATGGTCTAAGTTCAATTTTTACCCAGTGGAGTAACCTAAACCAATCTCCTGGCAGAGCAACAAACATCACACACTTGGAGAATGTGGATCCTCACAGTCCTCCACTTGGAGTGTGGATCACTCCTGCCTCCTGCTTTCCACATTCAATCTGTCAAAGTGAATCCCCACAAACTACAAAATTGCCCTACTTTTTCTTTCTTTTAATTTCACAAGACAGTAACAGGTTTATTTTTATTAAGAAAGCCCTGAAAGTTTGTTTTCCTCCAGCCATGATTCTGGCTTCCTCTGTAAGAGCCGAGTTTAACTGCCTTGCTATAGGAAATGGGTGCAAATTAAAATCACCACTTCACTACCACCACTCAACTGAAACTAAAGATTCTCTTGGAAACTCATTCACCCCTTCCATTAACCTTACCCTGTGCAAAGCCCTGAAGTGCATTAATGGCCACATGAATTCAGTTTTTGTCCTGTTTCTTAGAAAGCAGGCCTGGTAAAACCCTGGCAGCTAGATTTTATTGTGAGAATTGTTTATATCTGCAAATCAGTTGTTCCTTGCTCTTGTAATATATGCATAGTATCTGTTTACATAACTACAAAGGTATATATTTATAACAAGTTGTCAGAAGCCTCTGTTTGATGCTAACACCTAATTCCTGTATGTATCCTGCCCTCTTTACTGCATTAACCCTTGCAATAACTTTCAGCTGTGAGAGCCTCTGTACACCTTCAAAACCTCACTACCTTCTATCCAGACCTTCAGTGCTTTCTGTGTTTCATGCAGCCAGGCTGTGTGAGAAGCTTACTTGTTTCTAGATATTCACATTCACAACTGCTTTTCTTCAGTTGTTTGCCATGAGTTCTAGAATTTGTACTGTGTGAAGTGCATTGTTGTTTTGGGGAACATGGTTTGTGGAGAAAGAATAAGGAAAATTAACTCTGCATACTTAAAGCTACCTTACCATTTGATATACTAATTTCATCAGGTGATGCCTACAAACTGACTTTCAGGTGCTCTTTTACTCCATCACACCATCTGTTTGTGCATTGGGTGCTAATATATACTCCATGTCAGTGAATGGTATGATTAACATTTGCATTTTTAACTCTTTGGGGATAAAGCTATAGCCTTAGGCAGAAGGAAGTAACCAAATTACACTTGTTTACCCCATAAGACAGAATATAGAATGCAAAAATCCATCCACTGGTATAGGTTTTATATATATAAGTATTTATATATATGGATTTATATAAGCAAATGCACATATAAATATGTGTATATTGTATAGTACATGTGTGCAATACATAAATACACAGCAGTGTGTACACACTGAATAACGAAGGGATGTCTACAGAGCAAAAATGGGTATCCATTTCATTATAACTAGTGATGGCTCTGAACCAAAATTCGAGATCCAAATACCATTGTGTTTGGGAAGTTTGAACCTATTTGTTTGAGATTTGTGGTTGAGTTTCATCTCTGGTTACAGCTGCAGTTACTTATGTATATATGCATTCTGGGAGACGTGTGTGTGTGTGTGCCTGCATACGTTTGTGTGGGCGACAAAGAATATATGTGCCAGTAAGTGTGCATGTGTTTACATATATACTTCCAGCTTTGGTGAACTGTAATTTTACTGGTGTCATCTTCACTTGTACAAGTTTATCAGCAGCACATGAACACTTCCATGGATCACTTTTCAACTTGTTGTTGAATCACTACATTGAAGTATTACAGTTGTACAGCTATATGTTGATCTATTCTTGCTCTGCTGTAACTTTTTACGTACTTTGTATTGCATAGATTATATATTGTGATAATGTCCTATGCAACAACAATTATAAAAGGAAAAAAAAGGAAAAAAGGAAGAAAATTAACAATTGTAAAATATGGTCTTAACTTGTATGCATGGTTAGTGACGTTTACATTTTCCAAAATAAAACTTGTATGAAATACTGGTTTTAAATTCCTTCCCTATGTATCACTTAAAAAGCATCAATCATTAATATTTCTGCTTTTCATTTAAGGCTTGATATCTTGTCTGATATCTTTAAATTTCACCCAGTGCTATTGTTTAAAATGAGACTTTTTAATTGTTGAAAGATTCTGTGATATTTCTTTTATACTCTCCTCTACTTTAACTAGTATTTCATAGCTGCATACTGAAATTCCTTTCTCAAAGGTGGTATATACTGTGTTTTTCTTTACAAAATGGTTATGCATGACTTAAAAGTCAGAGAATCAACCATCCTTTCTTTCAAAGCCCCATTCTTTCCAAATTTCTGATACCATCTCCACAAGTGGAAATGCCCTATCAAAACAGTAGTCATTTAATTACTGTTGAACTCTCAGTGCTATTCATCATCTTTCACCATGTGCCAGTCAGCTTGTACATGTGTGTCTATGATGAACTGCTATTTTATAACTTACACAGAGGAACCAGCTAAATCACATAAATGCATATCTATGCCAATGCAG